AATGAAGGAAAATGATTCTATTTACAACAAATTTTAGTTACAGTTTAAAATGACTGTTTAATAATCTGTGCAGAATGTCTCTCCCATTGACCACATGCCAAGGTCACTCTAAGCAATTTTATCTCTGAAGTGGGATTTCACTCAAACTGTCATTATATATATATATATATATAAACTCATTGCCATCAAGTCCATTTGGACTCATAGCAACCCTATAGGACAGAGTAGAACTGAACTACCCCATAGGGTTTTCAAAGAGTGCTAGTGGATATATATATATAAACTCATTGCCATCAAGTCGATTTGGACTCATAGCAACCCTATAGGACAGAGTAGAACTGAACTACCCCATAGGGTTTTCAAAGAGTGCTAGTGGATTCGAACTGCTGACCTTTTGGATAGCAGCCAAATGCTTAACCACTGTGCCACCAGGGCTCCTATATATATTTTCTCCTTATTTCTGATTTTGTTAGGTTAAATTCTAGAAAGTGGAATTACTGGATTAAAAACAACAAGAATATTTATAAGGTTCTTTTAATGCATTTTGCCGAATTGCCCTTTACCCTGCTTCCAGTAGTGTCTGAAAGTGCTCATTTCTCTCTACCTTTGTTAACAGTGATTTTTTTTTTAACTCCATTTGATTTTGAAATCAAAATGTTTCTATCGTATTTGGTAACTATTTTTATGACCACCTTGTGGTATATGAAATACGTCCTCTGAATGTTTACTCAGACCAAAGGCAAATATCAGTGCAATCGTCATATTTGTGGTATACGTCTACATCAACTCCACTACTCTTGTTTTCACTATTCAGCCAACAGAGTATGTAGTCATTTGGTATTTATAAAATGAAGGTTATGAATCTGAGCTATATTCCCTGAAGATTTATGAACTATAAAATGGTATTGTTATTATTATATTCTATCATCGTATTGTGCTCTTTAGCTGTCTTCCATTTCAAGTTGTAAAACTCCTTAGGATTCATTTGCCTGAAAGCTACTGTGTGTACTCATTTTGTATTGTATTGTGGGAAAGGCTATAATCTACAGGGTTCCTATTCATTTTGGAATTCATTTCACAGCTCACTAATTGTGTGAATGAGAAGAGGAAATACATGCTTTTACTGCAAAGCATGCCAAGCAGATGGCCCAAAGTTCATTGCTACCAGCACTGTCAGTGTGGCCCTCTTCTGTAGGTAGTGAGCTTGGCATCGATCTGTCAAACACAATGTGAGGGTCCATTTAACACACCACTTGATAATCACTGAGCCACTGTTTTGTTGTAACTTATAAACATTTTATTTTTTATCATCAACCTCTAAAGTGACTGGCCATTTGAGCAAGTGCAAACACAGTGGAATTCATATTCATTTTACTTGAATAGCCAAAATAAACTTTTATTCAGATGGAAATTTTGGGAAAAGAAAACAGTACAGGGTATTTAGCTTAATTTCTTGAAAAGAGATTAATACATGTACTGAGATTAAAATGGTAGCATCATTTCTGAGACTAAGCCTTTGAAAACTTGAGTCGAAGAAAAGATCAGGGTTCGTATCGTTAAGCTTCATAGATGAACCAACCTCCTTTCTAAAATCTCCTTTTCTTTTCTTTCCTATTCAAGGGAACCATTTACTTGTTGACTTTTATATTAGAAGTGCTATTTATGTAATCATTTCGTATATTAACAATTGCATTCAATGTGCTCGTGCGTGTGTGTGTGTAGTGAGAATGTGAGATAAAGACAGAGGGAGAGTGACAAAGGAGAAAAAAGGGAAATAATGAATATCCTTACACATTTCCTATGTCAACAGAGATACTAGGACAATATATACTTGGGCTATCTTTTCACAAAAGGGGATGAGTGGGTTCAAATGTTATAATAGAGCCAATGTAGTAATTTGACATCCATGTCTTATTTAAGAGAACCAAAGAGGGTGAAGATAACATTTTCTCCTTTACACAGATAAAAACTGGGTATACATTCCCGTCACCCCTTCCCTCTTTTCCCCTTCCAAACAGCCTACCACAGGTTACATCTGCTGTATTGACTACATTTTTCCTTTTTGCTTGGTTTTCAGACTGATGCGGCTCTAATGTATGATGCTGTGCATGTGGTGTCCGTGGCCGTCCAGCAGTTTCCCCAGATGACAGTGAGTTCCTTACAATGTAATAGACACAAACCCTGGCGCTTTGGGACCCGCTTTATGAGCCTCATTAAAGAGGTAAGGAAAAACCAGTATGCTTGGTCTATTTTGTCCTCTATCAGAATAAATTGAGATGATAGCAGTTTTCCTAGCAGGTGACCTTTCACTTTTTTTTTTTTTTATGTCCTCCAGTTTCATCCATGTTATGAGATGCTTCACAGATTCATCATTGTTCTTTATCATTGCATAGTACTCCACTGTGTGTATGTACCATAGTTTGTTTATCCATTCATCTATTGATGGGCATCTAAGTTGTTTCCATCTTTTTGCTATTGTCAACAATGCTGTCATGAACATGGGTGTGCATATGTCTATTCGAGTGACAACTCTTATTTCTCTAAGATATATTCCTAGAAGTAGGATTGCTGGATCATATGGTATTTCTATTTCTAGCTTTCTAAGGAAGTGTCATATCATTTTCCAAAATGGTTGTATCATTTTGCATTCCCACCAGCAGTGCATAAGAGTTCC